GGGGTGTCCTACCCTATGGGGTATTCCTGTCCATTTATTTATTTACTTAACAAACACTGAATTTTGGGAAGAAACACCTCAGGATCATAAAGTGAAATCTTAAGACTTAATTTGTGATGTCATCTCAGGTGAATGTGTGCCATAACTTCCATATACTGTTTAACAGATGTCCATTACTGAGTACTTTTTCCTCTGCTTTTAGTTAAAATTTCCAACCTGATGAGAGTTTTGGGGAACGAAGCAGTACAGGACCCCACTAAAGTTGAAGCTCATGTTCGAGCACAGATGGCCCAAAGACAAAAGTAAGCTTCATTTGCCTGTGCTGGTTTAATGCTCTGTGTAACTTAACCATCTAAATGCTGTTCCCATCTACTTAAAAAGTGTTCTAGTGAGATCTACAGTACAAGTAAATGCACTGTAAAACACACATAAAATTACACAATTGTTTCTCTTCATGTTAGAGAGCATTGAACACTTCAGTGAACAATTCAGGTGTGTCGCCACAGTTTACCAGGATATGCCTTTCACTGCATCTTATATATTCAAATTATGTAACCATGTGTAGACGTGCTTTATAAATGCCGCTCTCCAACAAATTTTGACTTAGCAAACTTTTTTCAGGAGTGTGCTTTGTTGTTCTGAAATGGAGATACAATGCCTGATTTTCTTACCAAGTGGTTTGGATTTTGATGTCATCTGAAATGTCATTGAGCGATTCCTTAAACTTCTATGAAGTTCACTTTGTTGGATGTTAGACCTTTAAATTATTGCACCAGTTCACTGGTTCCAAAACAGTAATCATCTGCCTTGTTTCTTTATTAACAGGGCTCACGAAGCTGCCAACGCTGCGAGAAAACTGACTCCCCAGGCACGACGTGAGAAAACAATCCGTAAATTGAAGGAAGACACATCCCTTGGTGTTCATGTGGCGTTGTTCAGAGTAACAGAACTTAAAAATCCTCAGAGAAAGTACAAAGTGGATATTAATGCTCAGCAGCTGTACTTAACTGGTATGTATCTGCACTTTGTAAGTAATAGGTCGTCACGTACTTAGTGCACGTTGGGCCATTCTATTTATGCACAGCTACAATGCTCACCCTTTTATGATCAAATAAAGGAGGTTAATTGGAGACGCAGTAAATCTATTAATTAGTGTGCAACAGTCTGTGTGGGACACAAAAGAAAACGAAAAACCCCATAGCACGAACGACCCAACAAACGAAAAACGGAGATTCCTCCACAACATGGAAAGGAAAACCCCTCAAAACACAAAAACGAAGCACCTAAGATGAAACTCCAAGATTCCCCCAACCAAGTAAACGAAGAACCCATGAACTAGATAAAGAGGCCATAAAAAGTCGTAAAACAAAGACCCAAAACGAGGAAAAGGAGATTCACAATAGTAGGCATTTTATACTTTTACCTGCATTAGCAAGTTATTTTCTGTTTTGAAGTGATTATGGTAAAAGGGAACATTAAACTTCTTCGCGTTCTGAGGAAAAAAATAGATGATAAAACCAACGATTTTTTTCCACAATCTCCGGAAAGAGAGCGGAATCTTTTCTCCTAGTGAAGTAATGAGACTTGCTTACACCTACGCATTACGCTTTATTCTCACTTCGTTTTGTTCGAGGGCTCGTAGCCCTGCCAGAGAGTAGCCGTATTGCTGTTGTTTGAATGTGACATACTCTCAGATTTAACGTGAAGCTGACTCGGCAAAGCCGGTTTCCTCTCCTTGAAACGTTTAAACTCGAAGATGTGACTTCGGCTGACAATGACATGCAAATACGCCAAGGCGGGATACCCCACTTACACCAAATAACCGGTGAATGCACGCAAGATAGGAAGGGCGATTATGGTTAATGGTGTACTTCAGCGCCTACCTGAGGCTTTCCACTTTCATAAGGACAGACCAGTACATTGATTAGTGGTGCTTTAAGGACAGCTACAATTTTTTTTTAGGGTTTCTTTTGAAGAAGAGATACATTTTGTCTGACCTAGTGTAATGATTTGTGCAACCTTTCTCCTTAAATTTCTTGCATGGAAGCACAGCCGTCACATGGGCGAAAATGGTTCTTAAAGATACCTTGACACACTCAAACACATATTTATCTCAAAAATTTTTCGATGATGGTCTAGATTAACCCAGTGGTTTGGTTTTAAATCGTTACTCAAAGATATTCAGTGGGAAAGCCTGCGTTTAAGGGGCTGGGTAATGTCTGAGTCTCTTCTTTTTTTGTTTTTGATGTTATTGTTATTGTTATTGTTTTTTTTTTACCGAAGTTTTGCTCTATCAACAGGGTGCGCTCTCCTGTACAAAGATATCAATATAGTCATTGTGGAAGGAGGGCCAAAAGCTGTGAAAAAATTCAAACGTCTAATGTTGAGTCGAATCAAGTGGGAAGACGAGAAAGATTCTGATGATGATGATCACGCTGAAGAAGTAGCAAACAAAAAGACCGCTCCTTGTGTACTCGTGTGGGAGGTAAGAGTACATCTGTACACACCCCATTTCAGATAGCGGTTTGTGATGAGGATGACATGATTTGTGTAGTAGTTATGGAACAAATTTGTTATAAATCATTGGTCAAACTTTTGTCGCGATCCTTTGTCAAGACTGCTCACCTAACTTGGAAAAAGTAAACATGAAAGAAAATTCTCTCTAGGATCGTAACGATTGTTCTGTATCATGTTCTCTTTGTATTTCGGTCACACTAGGTCTGAAAGTGTCTTGTATACCCTAACAAACAGAATTGTGTAACCATAATTGGTGATTACCGCCAAAATTAAGTTTGAGATTTCATCGCTGTCGTTTTGTTGCTCCTGTATTCGATTCTTTGTATTCCGCGTTATGTTTATGTTTATGTGAATATTACGTATTCTGTTATAATAAAGTGCGAGTCTATTATTCGTGTTTCGAGTTATGTTCCTCGAGAGAGCTCGACCGCTATAGTTTCGCGAGTGATATTTCGTTTCGCTAAGAGCATCCTCTCGACTTCCCATGGAAAAAGAATAGTTTGGTTCTCCAATTCTCTTCTTTTCCGTCGTTACACGACAAAATTGATTTTTGGCTAGACCGCCTGCGTGGACAGCAATCGAAAGTGTAAATTTCACAGATTTTGTCGAGCGCGCTGGCACTGCTGTGACATCTCACGGAATTCTCCCTTGCTACAAGTTGGAAAATGTCGTCAGTCACTTCACAAACAAAATATGGAAAACTTTACCAGAAATATTTTTCATACCAGTGTGATCAGAGGAGAGCCTTCTCTTCGACCTTGATTTTCATATGAAAAATTCGCCAATTTGTAGGAAACAATTATCAAAATGCCGGCGTAAATCGGGCTAAAAAAGCATATAAGTGCATAGTTTATGCACCTGTTGGACAAACATAATGTGGAATACGAGGAATCGAATACAGGAGCAACAAAACAACAGTGACGTTTTGGCGAAAATAATTGAGAACACGTCAAACACTAAAACATCAGTGAAAACGTTAAAACAGCATTGGCAAACAGCATAAACAAAATCCCAAACTTACTTTTGGCAGTAATCAACCCTCATAGGTGACAGCTGATGATTACTTTTTTCCGTTGTGTAGGGCACAAATCAGGAGAGAAGCTTCAGTGACTGGAAATTTAAGTTATGTCCGATGCAGTCCATGGCGAGAGAACATCTTAAGAAATACGGAGTAGAACACTATTGGGATTTGGCTCTCAGTGAATCGCTTTTACAGAACGCCGATGACTGAATATACTGATAACTTTGTTAAATTTCCTTTTCCAGTCATTTTACGGTTTGCTAGATAGCGTGAAAGCACGGTATCCTTTTCTAGCCGAGAAAGAGCACCAGAGTTAGCAATGAACGAGATTGAGAAAGAGTTGTTAATGTCTCAGAGGAGACCTTAGTCGGAGAATAGGTCGAGAAACTTAAAATCAGTTGATTAGTTTCTAAGTTTCATTTGCCAATCGAAAGTTGACGCGGGAACTGGCAGTCCTCTGGAACTGTGTGGTCAAAAGCTCGCTCATTTGTTAGGAATGGATTTGGGTTATCAATTATCAGCTATTGTAAGCTGTTTTCTTTTAGAAATAAACAGTGATCTTTCATGAGTGTTGTGTAAAACACGACCTTGTCCGCATGATTCTGTTTCAGATGGTGCTATTTATAAGTTGATCGCTTCCTTTAACCAGCATAACTAACCAATGGTCCGATCTGCTTCATTATTTGTTTCCATTGTTTACTATTCCGTCGATCGTGGTCACGGCGGCTCTTTTCGGGTCGTTTCAAGCCAGAATGTACTCCAAATCTGGAAGAAAAGTGAATCAGATAGTGAAATGGGCAATCGACTAGAAACTATGGATAGATGTTCCTGTGGGTTATACCAAGTGCTGCCAACATCGAGAGAGTGTATTATACGGTACAAATTCAGTCAACGCTTGTGCGATCCGAGTGATCATAAGCTATAACAAATGAATAATTTTAACGAGACGTGATGTCTTTTCGCTTGTAACAAGTTTTGAAAATTATAAAAACGAGCTGAAACGAACTAGATTTATATTTATCACAGTGTATTTTGTCTCTATGTTAACTTTGCTGTTTGGCGAAACGCAAAACTGTTAGCATTAACAAGAAGTTAGTGTTGTATCCACCTTTCCAACACTATTATCCCTTATCTTTTGGGAAAAACTAGTGACGGGTTACTCTGCATTAATCCTTTAAACCCCAAGAGTGACCAGCAACTAATTTCTCCCTACAATACTACCCCTGAATCACACATTAAGGTCATGAGAACGAAGGAAATGACTACCAACAAAAGACGCTTTTGATCAGTGAGCAAAATCTCATTGTCAGCACTTTAGGAAATGTATAAAGAACAGTATGGAGAATATGCTTAATGACAATAAGGTGTAACGGGTAAATGCAAATCTCTAAAAAGCGGCCTGAGCACAATAGAGAACATATGATGGTGAAAAAACTGAAAATCAGTAGTTTTATTTTCATATGGGAGTGTCTCTCATGTCTTCACTTTTGTATCACGGTTGGCAGTCGTACAAGTCAGTCGAAAAGGCCAAGGATTTGGAAAACTGGTCGTAAGGCACTCAGTTACAAAATCACCCTAGCCAAGGTGTAAGGGAAAGGTGAAGGAGAGTGTTCAGCGACAATTTACAATTTCTTTCGTGTGGTGACGCTGATAATGCATGGTATTTGCCTCAAAAGAAAGACGTCACATCTCCAGCAACATCAACATCTTATCTCTATGTTACATTCCTGCGAGTTGCTTCATCATTTGCTCAAGTCTCTTTAAAATGGTGAAGTTCTATGGTTCTAAAAGTCTTGACCTACCAACAAGTTTAACAAACATTTACAAGAGAGCCGTGAAAATTTTCTATTAAGACACAACGAAGAATTTCGATATAAACATTCCACTCGCGAAGACTTTGAATCAAATGATTTGCCCCCTAAAGAAGAAAAGAAATCGAAGAAACTGGAAAAAATGGCAATTGAAGGAATTAAAGAAAGAAGGCTAATCTTTGTGGGAAACGAAGTACGCGGAATGGAAGACAGCGCTCTATTTCACCGCTTACCCGACCGTGAACCTGACCCGTTAGTAGAGAAGAACAGTTCTGTTTCATTCATCTTACAATGCAGGAGTTTTTCGCTGCGAGGCACCTGACAAACTGGAGTGCAACAGAATTAAGGAACTTTATTACCGAGAACATCAAAGAAAGTAAATGGCTGCTGGTTTTTCCGTTTCTAGCAGGACTTATGGTGGATAAAAATGACCTACCAAGCGAAATTATCTCTAACCTTCTTCCTGTGAAAACTGAAGAAAAACAAAGCGCAGACTACAACGAACAGTGGACAGAGAATGAAGAAAAAAGGAAAGTGACTCTCTGCCCGACTAAAGACGAACAAGATTTAGCAGTGACATTAATTAAATGTTTAAACGAAAATAGTAGAATGAAGATAGAAGCACAGAGAAAACTTCCACAAATAAACTCTAATTATGTAAATTTTATTTATTGTCACCTCACAGCTGTTGAGTGCTCTTCGTTAGTAAATGTAATTAACGTTCAACAAATTTCACATTTAAATTTGAGATACAAAAACATTGATCTATTAGGTTGTTTTGAGATTTGTAAATTGTTAAAATGTGGGAATTCTCAACTGAGCTGGTTAGACCTCACAAACAATCAATTGACAGATGAAGCAGCAGAGTATTTAGCTGAAGCCATCAACAGCAACAACTGTCAGCTACGCACGTTAAACCTCAGAGAAAATGACATATCAAACATTGGGGCACAGCACTTGGCTGAAGCCATCAACAACAACAACTGTCATCTACACACATTAAACCTCTAGGGAAATAACATCTTAGTCATCGGAGCACAGCACTTGGCTAAAGCCATCAACAAAAACAACCGTCAGCTACGCATGTTAAACCTCTCATTAAATAACATCTCAGACATAAGAGCACAGCACTTGACTAAAGTCATCAACAACAATGTCAGTCAGCTACACACATTAAACCTCTTATACAATGACACCTCAGACACTGGAGCACAGCACTTAGCTGAAGCCATCAAGAACAACAACTGTCAGCTACACACATTAAATCTTTGGAATAATAATATCGCAGACAATGGAGCACAGAACTTGGCTGAAGCCATCACCAACAACAACTGTCAGCTATGCACGTTGGACCTCGCAGCAAATGAAAACATAACAGAGGCAGGTAAGCAAAAGGCATACAATTTACTTAGCAATAATCAGTCTAAGTGTGAGATGATCATCTTGCGAAATTACACAAGAGAAGCTCCTCCTTTGTAATAAACCTGGAAATGGATAACTCGCTAAAATGGGTTCTTTTCAACATAGTAAGCGGTTTGATAACAAGCGATACACTGTGGAAGTAAGGTGAGGTACTTTTATTAAGAATTTGACTGTCTTTTTTTATTCCTAGGAGCGCTCGTAAATATTCCCATACAAATTCTTACAATTTCGCCATGAATCTTATTTCGCAAGATTACCATCTCACAACGGGAGCTTGGGCTACCTATGAATAGTCTCTATTCCAGCTACGTCTCACATCTCCAGGCCGCAGCTGTTTAACTGGAACACTGCTCTTTCTTAGTAAGAAGACCGCTTTCCTCACGTCAATCATTGTCGTTCTTATCACAGTTTGAGCCATGCAAATGACCGTGTTGCCCGGCGATGGTCCTCGCCGGAAAGGAGGGACTGTTCATAGTCTGGAAATTATAGTTAGTGCATATTGCGATATCTAATAGATGGCGAAAGCAGTGCAGAAGAAACAGCTACAAGTTCGCAACACTTTTATTGATTTCTAGGGCATGATATCCTGACCATACCATTGTGTGATTTGCACAAAAAAGAAAATAATTATAGTAAATTACCATTAAAAAGTTTCACAGATATAATAATTAAAAGTACCTCCATGTGAATCTATACACGAGAAAACCTCAAAACACTAATGTAATACTGCATGTAGCGCAACGTGGAAGGGTCATTTTAGAAACGCGAAAATTTCAAACAATCAATGATTTTGAAATAATATTACTTATTTTAAAGTGAGCGGTAACAGTAAACGGTCGATCATAACCATAATAGTACAAATGACAACAATTTACGCTTTGAAAACCTGGTTGGAAGTCATCATCAGACCATGAAGTCAGTCGCTTCGACCGACAACGGTTATATTCAGAACTTCCATCACACAGACGACAACTTTATTAATTCCGCTATTTTCTAATCCAGTGAGAGGAAGTAAGCAGTTGGCCTGTTATGACTCATACAGGGCGTAAACATTCACGCAGGTTTGTCCGCCGTTGTTAAATTCTTCTCCATTAACGAAATCCTCGTTATACCATATTTGGTATTCCTCGCCATTAGTTACCTTCAGGGGTTTAGACCGGGGTGGAAATACCAGCTCTGACGAGTTGGCATGGTAACCAACTAATGAGTAAGATTTGTTTTTGTAATCTTCTGGGAATATTACATTCTTGGCTGCACTGGTGACAATTGTTGCAATACGTGATCCCTTTTTGCACGCCCAATGACTTCCATAAGGGACGGTTCTGTTATTACACGTCACAAACCCCGAAATGTAGACCAGCCTCATTGTTAGAATAGTTCCGTGAGACGTCACAGTGAAGTTCCCGAATGCGTCATTTTTGGCGCCAAAGCAGACCACATTTTTGTTAAGTTTAATCCATGGGGACCCTGAAAGGAATGATGGAAGAACCATAGAGTACTTTCACTTTGGAAAAGTCGTAAGAAAGACTGTTTCTTATGGAAAGTCGCTCAATTTTAGGAATCCTTGAATGCAACGGAGACTGGGGCCAATCTTAGGAATGGGCGAACTTCAACTCAGCCTCAGTTTCGTTCGCTGACCCCATGGAAATTCGGAAACCAATTAAAAAAAGCTGTGGATCTGAGTAACCTGTTAAGTTATTGGCTTTTTGCAAGTTCTGAGTTTGGATGGAAATCTCAGCTTTCTAAATTAAACTGCCCACAAGCCAGCTAGCAGTACCGCCGACGAGTCAGTCTTTCCATTGTATTTTCAAATTTTTAAACATAAAATCTGCAAAATTATGAGCTTTCATGGGCAAAAATTCTAATTGAGACGACCACTTCTGTTATGGTATTGTATTTAAATTTTGAGAGTTCCAATCCATTTTCGTCCGTAATGGAGTAAGATAGCAAATGCTTACGAACGAAAGATTTAACTTAAAGCAAAATTTGAAAGTGTTTGTAAGTTTTCTTTATCGTACACATATTTCAAGTCTTCATTTTAAATAGGAACCGTGAGAATTAAGTGCAAACTAATGTTTCTCTTGAGAGGCATATCCCGATTTTAGCTCCATAGCCGGGGGGTTTTAAATCATTTCGACTTGGAGGCGCTGACCTACACTTGCGAGACTAATGAATCTCGCAATGCTATGCAGCCTCGGCAAAAATGAAAATAACAGTACCAGACACAAACTTTAATTTTACCTTGCTCAATACTCCCTGGACTTCGTTCGCAATAATAACCGTTAGATCCGTATAGTGGGTTGCACTTTGCTCCTTTTTTACATGGACCGTTTTCACATGGGCTCTGAAACAATTAAGGTAGCACTCAGAGAAGGTGAATGACAGACTGCTACTGGAAGGATATGAAAGAGTACTATAACAGGTCATGCAACAAAAGTAAATAAATGAAACCATTTGCAAACGACTCGTCTTTGAAACATGTTTATATCTTTGATATTTTGGGGTGAACTGAAATGAGAACTATTTTTTAGCCTGTTCTATCAATGTTTTGGTCTTACAGATGGTACTATGAAGCTGAAATATTTCATGTAAAAGCCAATTCAAATCTAGTTCATAAAATGCTTTCCTTCACATCTTACTTTAATCTAACTACCGTTTATCCTTACCATCAAGCTGTAATGATTAAAAAACTGACTTGGTTGAAATCTTTCAGAAAGTGTGTACTTGTTTTTACTGAGTAACTCACAGCTGTTGTTTCCCGGCGAGCGAGCATCATAGTTGAACGAAAGGCAAAAGCTTTGATGCAGACATTTAAACGCACACATTATCTTATCGTACGTTGAAACAGATATTTCGGGTTCTACATCCAAAACAAAGTGAACATGTTCAATAAAAAGGGTCCCTCCGTCATGTTTTCCAAATCCATGATCAATACTCCCAATGGCGGATTTCGAAAAGCTAAAAACTGCGGGCATGAAGACATGGCAAAAGAGGAATCCCTTAACAAATACAAGCGAGCTCATATCACGGCTGGTTCAAAGTAATTTTATAAACACAGTGAGAGGTATCGAGGCCTGACGTTTGGTTAAATAAAAATTTGGTTCGTTTGTTTAATTAGCCAGACTAATTGAAAGTGAAAAGACAGCTCGATAACGAATGAGTTTTATTTGACGCATAGTAACGGTGAACATTTCAAATGATTGATTTTAAATGTCGTCTCGCCTTCAAGATTATGGTCTCGTATAACTGATCGGAAATGAAAATAATTTTTCTAACCAAAGCCAGTGCTGTATTAGGAGGTAAATTCAAAGAAATTTAGCGATAACAATAACAATAAACGGCTGATCCTGCATGAGGATTTATGAAGACAATCATGTAATAATTGTTTGACAGAATTTAAGGCCATAGTAGGTAACATAATGTGAAATGGTGACTTTAAAGATAATTGTAATAATGAGGGATCTGCATGGAAAACTCTAAAAAAGCTCTCGCAGAGATCTTAAGTTACTTTATTTTAGTAAATGTGATGGATGTCCAGATTAATATATTGAAAACTGACTGACAAGTGAAAGATGCTTTGATTGACTGAAGCAAACGGAATTAAGACAGAATGCTCTATGTCAACTGTTTTCTATTTTTACTTTCTCTTTATTAAACAAGGCTAAAAACCAAGACCATAAATGTGAAAGACATAAATAAGTCAAGACGACTCTTCACCCGTAATTTTGTTCTCATATTCTCAACCATTTATACTGTTTGATGTCCTTACATCAAAAATTCAACACAGAGTCAAGTCCTCTAACGCACCTGCTGGGGGTTTCCCTCTAACACTTCGCCTTCCTGTTTACACAGGAAAACTAATTTCTTGAAATACAACCAATAGGATATCTGATTTGACCACCGTTGAATCATTCGACAGCGAATCAACAAGAATTAATCTTCTGTTGTTGATAAAATTCGCTGCTTGTTTAAATAAGAGAAGACCCGTCGACAAAGTGATGATAAATTTTTTACTTCGCTTTCCGTTTCTCACACAAAAAATAAACTTTTGTTGATAATTTTTGCAGCTTGTTTAAGTGGAGAAGATCTGTGTTTTCGCCTTATCGCCTGCTGGGCCTCTTGTCGATTTTAGCATGACGACGATAAATTTAAGATAAATTTTGGTTTACTTTTCTTTTTCATTAAGAACTTCTGACATCGTTAAATATTATCAATAAGATGTCTCAATTTGAGTCATCCTATAGCGAATTATCAGATCGGAGTTAAAAGCTTCTACCCTCAGTAAAATTTCAGAGGACCTCTGTTGTCAATACGTCAATTGACTCTTTTTAAGGTTTTGACCTGATAACGTGTGATGATGTAATCTATGATACTGTAAAACCATCAGTAGTAAGCGAATACTGCACTATATCTTTTGCAAAAGGGTACAGAATCCTGCCTTCTGAGTTGTTCTTAGCGCCGTCTGCATTCTTATATCTCTGCCTACGGTCACGATAAAGCTTTCGTAGATATTGGGGATTTTGTCTTACCTTCATCAATAAATGAATCAACACATAAAGAAAGAGGGGTTGGGAATGAGGGATTGTTTTAAATCTACATCGAAGTCTGAAACGATTGTGGTTTCCTACACTAGAAACTTCACTTATAATTATCAATTATTCACCTATCATCCATTGCTCAAACAAGACCTGATAATGTTTGACAAGTTGCCGCCAAAACTATTTCGCGTTTCTTTTCATTTATTTTTGCCTTTGTCGCTTCATCTGTTTTCACGGACATTTCTTTCATCGATATTGTTACCTTTTTTGCGCATAATTTTCGTTTGTTCGTGTATATGTAAGTTCTTTACCGTAAATTTTATTCATTCGCCTTTATCATTTAACTTGTACTGTGCCATCGTTTTCTGCATCATTTAAATCGTCTTTAACCAGCCAGGATCTCGTACAACGTTTGTTTCTTTTATTTTCCTTTATTTTGTGTTCTCCTTTTCGATTTCTTTACGTATAATTGTAGTAATCTTGTGATCTATTATTCTATTTTAGCAACCGGTTCAAATGTTCATTTCGCTTTAATACTTCAGTTAATTTTGTTCGTACGTTGGACATGTACTAGTGATTTTGGCCCCAATAATAATATATATACATATGTGTGTATTTTTTTTCGGGGGGGGGGGGGGGGGGGGGGGGGGTGTTGGGGGCTATGAAATGTGAATTGAAATGTTGTCAAGTTCTTTTCAACAAAAGTCGCGCACATTCATTTCAACTGTCAAAACCCAATTTCATTCTCATGAAATTCATTTATTTGTAAATGCAATAATCTCGTTAGATAAAATTACATTGTTACTTCACAAGTTAAACCCATTTCGTTTTATTTACATCATTATTTACAAAACGGAAGGCTATAAATTAGTTTTAATTTTTGAAATGTTAAGCAATAACAATCATAATATAATTAGCTACTGCAAAACAAGTAATGTAACCAATCGAATACAGTAACACGAAAGTTTCAAACTTCCCTCTTTTTACTTCTCAAAGTTTATCCCAGCGTCAAAAATTTTCTTCAAAACCAATAATGGTTTTCTTAGAAAAAAAAAAAAAGAAACAAATGAACGCGGTTTCTCTCTTAACAATATATCAAAACCCCTTTCCCAAACAAAGGTAAGAGACATTTGTGTCTCCGCTGAGAACATTCTAGTCCAATGTTTCTCCAGCCAGCCTGAGTCACGTAATCACACACCTAACCACTCCAATTCAATGGACGTTTATGTTATAAGATGATTGTCTGTCTTGTTGCAATGGGGATACAGTGTAACTGATGCTAAATGGTTGTTGGCCATCACCTGAAAGACAAAACAAAAGAAAATAAAAACAAATGAACAAGTCTTACAATCTAAATTAGTTAACGAAATTATATATGATCAATTAGTGCGAACAGATTTTCATTATATACCGAGCCCTCGTCGTTGCTGCCAGGCGAGCTTCTGGAACGAAATTCACTTGAAATGCAATTACGTTGCCGAAAAGATTTTTATTAAAAATTGATCTTCACATGTCGATAAATCATGAAAACCAAATCACCGGAGCTATAATGCTGTATTCATACAAATGTATTTTTATTTTAAAAATGGAATCGCCTATCCTTTCATTAGCAAAAATATTCAGTGCTCCAACGAGTTTTCATTTCACGTGTAGTGTAGAAGTGAAAAGAAGTTTAAGATTCGTGCATTATAAGTTAACTCTTAACACCGATTCCTTTTAGCTGTCAACTATGGTTATAATAAACAAAGGGGATTTTGAAACTGAGTGGAGCGCAAATTGGTCTGAAGTCATATGCGTGATCTCTTTTTGGTTGTTTTGATGTTAATGCTCCATTCTCCTTAACAAGGAAAGATGCGATTTTGAACAAAATCCAGTGCGACTGATGAATAATTCGTATCGCCGAGGGCCACTTAGATTGACAGGATCAGTTGACTTAGTACTGAATATTATAAAGAATTAAATGCCTTGTCAGACTATTGCTAACAAACCTCGAAAATCATGTGTTGCAGGTTGTAGCAGAAAGTTGAACCAAACGGGTTGGTGGTGTTGGTGGAAGAAGATCTTCGAAAGAAACAAGACGATAATAACATCAATACCGACATCATAACAAGCAATGTGGCGTGTGACAAAGTTACAAATACAATCGAATTGAACTTTGAACCTACCGATTGAGTACCACAGGCGCCTCGACTGGTTTGCCCAGGTAATCCTGAACACTGTCCCACTGGATGAAAAGGAAAGACAACAATGAAAACTTAAACATTTCCTCTTCATTACTCGCCTTGCATTAGTCCACTATTGTACTACCATCCGAAAAATATACGGCGGGAAGAAACAACTGGCTGGAAATTGCAAGACCGGACGCCTTTCCTTAACCAGTCAAGATAAAAAAAGTCCCAACGGTCAGCATTATGTAAGCTTTTACAGACGAGAAGTCAAGAGTTTCGTTAATTCCTAAACCTAAATTTGCGTTTAGCGGCTATTCGAGATCATTGGAGGCGCGTAATTGCCGCCCAGATCGAAGAGAAACCGGAACCCAAATAGGTCAAATAGGAAAAACCAAAAACCCGTTAGTATTTTTCGCGAAAACCGAAAACCAAAGAGGTGGAAAATTCGCGAACCGCAATGAATACCAAAACCGAAAAACCGAAGTTTTTGGGCACAAAAACCGAAAAAACCGATCTAAAAAATAGCCAAAACCAAAAATACCAATGTCCCCCTCAATGAACCATGGAGCAAAATGACCGGCTTTCCTTTCCTCCGGCTTCTCTACTTTTCGAGAGAAGATACGACATTTTTATAAATGCAGCAATATTTACCTTCGTACACGAAGTTAATACAAAAGGGGTTCCATCATCGAGATCAGAATCTGCAAATTAGAGCACCATATTAAACAAGACATAACAACAGAGTAAGCACAAGCTACACCGCAACAAATAGGAACAATCTTTGTTACCAGCGGCTGACTATAAGCTTACTTCAAGGAAAAGTATGATAGAACATTTTCGCGCCAAGTCAGGAGTTCTAGTGTTTATCATCTCTCCAATGATTTCTAGCAAGGCGCGGAATAAGACAGTTGCTAACCTCTTACCCGTAGGATACCCGTAGACTGAGCGTTCACTGGTACATCTTTGTTAAAAAGAAAACCAAGTCTATCTCTTCTTCTGAAACAGCATCAAAACGCTTTTTCATCTTACATTTATTTTTAACGAAGACTTCCACTGAATATACTTATTGGCACTTGATGCAAATATTATGGTTTTGACGAGTTATTAACAAGATTCTTCTGACGACACTGTTGAGCAGAGTTGCAGTGGTTTTCACCAAATTTAACATGTCAAATATTAATTACCAGCTTAGAAAGCATTCATGTTACCTTTGGAATCCCTGTGAATTCCAACCTTAAATTCACAGCGTTGATACCTTCAATAAAACAAACGTAACTCAAGACAGTAAAAGGGCAGTCCGTGAAAAACACAAGAAATACTACAAAATTACCATTTATCAAGTAAAAAAAAAAAACCCAACAAACACAATAAGCAATAACAACTTGAGGCAACTAAACTCAAAGAGCAAAGAAATTGTGGAAAGTATGTGGATGCAAGTCTCCTTTCTTATCTAGGGCAGGGTTGTTCAAAGCTGGGTTAAGATAACCAAGTTGTTGTAACAAATTTAAAAGGAAATATGTAATAGGTGGGGGGGGGGAGAATTGACTATCAGATCTTGGGAGTTAAAGGGTTAACTTCAGATTGGTGCTTATAGGCCTTCAAACAACTGGGCCCAGAGCTCTACATTATTTGTTACTTTTCACAGACAATGTGCTTACATGTTAAAGTTGTAATGTCCTGGAAAATTAGTGTGCAGAATAAACTTCTTCACCAGATGGCTGTATGCATCAAACAAGATGTCCTAGAGCAGAAAAATGAAGGAAAAAGTAACAGTCCATGATTAACTGAGAGCTTCTTCTTTAAACCACACAGCAACAAGTCACTGAAATACAATGATTCTTGTACTCTTAAGTTGTGTTACTTACAATTCCAAGAGTGAAGTAATTAAAGAAGTAATCCGAACTCTTGGACTGGGCAAGCTTGTGAGGAGAAGGAGAGTGGATCCGCATCTGAAAAAGAAGAAAGAGAAAAGGAAAAGATAACAACTGCAGATTGGCTTTAGAAAAATAAATTTTTAAAAGTGACTGTTTACACAGCTTCAAGGATAGGACCCAGTTTTTAAAAGAATGGGGGTTGAGGGGGAGGGGAGAGGGCTTTTCCATCTTCACTTCAATCGTATTGTGCTCAACTTTCTCAAATCAACTGACCTTATCTTCAGCTTTGTAAAACACTTTGCATGGAGATCCAAGTGAGCTTAAAACATCCTAAAAAAACAAAAAGTCATGGTCTCAATAACAAGCCTTGGCATAAATTAAGCATCAGCTGCAGGATGATGACTCACTGAGCCATGATAAGCCTCCAGTTTAAAATTCAGCACAATCATTAGAAGGTTATTTGTGATGTCAAACAACCAAAGCCCCAAATTCTAACCTGACATGAATCTCCAAACATAACATTCCTTTCAAAGGTTCTTCGCCGTAGCTCTAAGATCTTACCAGGACCAGGACCTTAAACAAAGGAAACACTTGATAAGTGGATGGTGGATGTTACTGATAGTAGTTCATGCATGTCAAATTTTTTAAATCTCTCCCAACCACCCCTAAAATAAAAGCCATTGTCTAAATCTTTTAGGGTTGGCAAATGTAATATGTGTTAATTTTATCTAATCCTTTAACCATTCTTGTCCCTATTTGGTTTATTAATGTGTTTTGGCATTTGGCCAGCCTCCCAGACATTTATGTTATGGTTTTTTATATGATTTGATCAATTACAAA